TGCAATGTATGAATGAAGTCCCATACCCCCATCCATACTAAGCAGAACCCTCGAGGAACCATGCTCTTTCTACTGTGGGAGCTTCTCTAACCGACAAACCACCACTACGAATATGAGTGGTGATACAACGTTTTACCTCACGTTGCCCGAGGACCATTCTATACCTTGTCGTGATACATGAAGCTAATGATACAACGTTTTACCTCACGTTGCCTGAGGACCATCCTATACCTGGTCTTGATATAGGAAGCTAACTTTACTAAGTGGATCCACTAGCTTAACTTTACGAATTTATCTAAAAAGTATGACCCGTTAACTCCCATGTTGGCTACATGGTTCTTATGGAGAGTTGAGTTTAATATGAACTCGCGTCCCCCAAAATGGGTGCTCGATACTACTCCCAAAATGCTTTTGACTCATAAGTGTTTTAAACACATCTTTCTTTAAATGAGATAATTACTCAAAATCTAGCCCAAAGGCTCACTTGGAAACGATGTTCCTTTTCTTGAAAACTAGCCCTAAGGCTCTTTTGGAAATCATAGTCCCTTTCTTACTCAAATGTAAAAACATTTAGAAACTTCTTTGGGAATACATAGTTCTCTAATAGCTTTTGAGAAATGAACTCAACTTACACTCTTGACTTAACTTGAGTCTTGAGACTCTTTACTTAGATTGAAACTCTAAGCTCTTTGCTTGACTTGAAACTTGAGTCTAAAAATGAAGTTAAACGTTCAATGAAGACTCTTGGAAAGCTTGGAGGACTTGTTGAACTTACTTCTTAACATGGCTTGACTTGACTCTAACTTCTCTTTAACTTAATACTAATTTGCCTTGAATTGACCTATGGATTCAAGACATATAATCGCATGTTTATAGATGAGTTCGGGATGTTTAGAAACACTTTGGGGTGTTGGAAATAACTAGGGAACATAGGTATAACACCTGGAACATACATGAGAAAGCATGGAAAGAATGGGAAAGCTTGGCGCTCTGAGAGGCGCGGAGCGCCAGGCCAAAAATTTCAGAGGAGGCCTACTGGCGCTCTGAGTGGCGCGCCGCCCCAAGGGCTGGGCTTCAGAGCCCCTCTTGGGGCGCGACGCGCCAATCCCCTTGCCCAGAAATCCTACTTTTCTCCCCCTTTTCTTCAACTCTAAACCATCCTTACTTCAAAGGATCTAACCCCAAACACTAAGGATCATCATATCCCTCAACATACCATGGATTACAACTCAAAACACAACCCAATCATGTCTCACAACCAACAACAACTTCAACAACACAACTAACAACATCAACAACAACTAACAACTTCAACAACAATTTCAATCCTTCCTCAAATCATAAAATGAGCTTGGTGTGTGGGGGAAAGGATCAAACCACACAAAGAACTCACATACCTTGAAAGGGATCCACCCCCGACGAAAATCCACGTTGATCTTTGACGGAACTTGTTGATCTCCTCTTTCTCCTCTTCTTCTTCTCCTTCTTCTCTTCTTCTTCTCAAACCCTAGCTTTTACTCTTTTAAAATGGGACAAAAATGATCCAAAGATCAGTCCAATACAACAATATAATCCCAAAAGAATTGGCTAGGGAAAAGACTAAAATGCCCTTAATTTTTCGGACGGATTTCTTGTCAATTGCTCAACTTTCAAAGGGCATATCTCACTCATACGAACTTGGAATCGAGCAAACTCAGTGGCGTTGGAAAGGTCATTCCACAAGCTTCACAACCATAACTAGAACTACTCCTAACTCATCCTGAGCTAGGAGTTATGACTGCTCAAAGTTGGCCAAAAACTCACTGATTTCCACACTTAGCCAAATTTTTCCAGATTTTCAAATCCTTTCCAAAAAATGACTATTTCCGATTCTAAGCCTCTTCCAAGCTATTTCAAATTGTCGGATGTTACATAAGAGAAAGCCATTTTTTAAAGTTTATTGAAGAAAAATACTTAAACTTAAAACCATTTAAAAATAAAATGTGATCAAGTGAAGTGGCCTTAAAACATATCTTCTTAAGAACAAAGATTTAACTTAATTAAAATATAAAATTCGACCAATATTCGATTAATAAAATAAGTGAACAGAACAAGTGAAATGTATTAAAATAAACCGACACGACAAAAATGACTCGTCTTTTTGGGGAATCTAATTAAGTTATTTAAAGTTAGAGTTAAATAAAATTAGTCAACACATAATCAAACAATTAGAAGAGTAAACGAGATAATGAAATTGGGCCCCTTCTTGGGCCAATTTCGCTGCAAATTTTGACCTTTCACCAATTCCCCTTTTTGTATACATAGTCTGTATATCAGTTCTTTTCATGTATTTCTTGCTTCCGAACAGTTGTATTTCGCCTTAGCCCTGTATTTTTTATTTCTTGACCTGTATATCAATGTATATAGATGTATATATCTTGTATACAACCCCTTTTTGGACTTTCCGAGACCTGTTTCAGCTTCTAATTTCTCGAAATGATGAGTTCAACTCGATATTGCTTAGTTCATGACTCCATGACACATCCAAAATGCAAAGGGAAGAGATAGAATGGAGTCCAGTGGACTCAAACCAAGGGGGGTTCATGCAAATAAGGAAAGGGTAAAAAGATTAGTAAGACATTCGACTTTAAACGATATTATATTAGAGAAAAATAGATAGAGCTAAGTAAAATTACACATCAAATATACCATCTAAATATAAAGCGTGCTAGTGCAGAACAAAAACTCCAAGATATTTGGACATTTTTTAAGTGGCCTGACGAAATACTTGGAAGAAAACCAAAACAACAAACTCTACTAATTAATGGATTAAGCAGAAGAGTTTAAAATCTATGATTTTTCTTACTACTACAAAAATGTATAAATAAAATAAAGATATAACTAAAGTAACCTGCATATCATTTCTAAAAAAATCAACAACAAACACTCAACTCTATCTAAAATACTTTTAAACTAAGAAAACACAAGCTGAAAATTTTATCATATAAAGGACGCCAAAAGGGACATTAACGAACAACAAAATCAATTTTAAGTGATGTAGTCATATTGTCTAATATGCCAAAGAAACACAACTTCAAAGCTATATCGCTCTCGAAAGTAATCCCTTACTATTATGACTAAACTAAGTAAAATAATTCGCAGGACATGACTTATCTTTAAAACTAAAGAAAACTTATACCCATGCATATAGTAACATAATCTGCCGAGAGAAATTCAAAACTCACATTTGTAGGTATAGAATATAGAGGGTTACATTATTAAGGAAAAATTGCAACCTATTTTTCAACTAAGACAAAATGAAGTTATATATTTTCCAGATTTTAAAACATTGCCTACTACTTCTACTAAAACACAAAAAAAATATACACGATTTAATTAACAAATGGCGAGAACTTGAATTAACACTTACGTGCTAAGAGTAGTAACACTTCAAAAAAAAATGCCTACAACCAAGGCGTCCTTTTACATAAAATAATAAAAAAAAACAGAGCACTTAATATGCATAATCTCCAACTAAAACAGGGACTATAGTCATCTTCCTAAATATACTTTTTAAAATAATAACAAGTCCGCGACGCGGAGATGGTTTAAAATAATACTCGCGAAATTAAACTTTGAGACAGAGGAGTCCGCATCCTAACCACGAGGTGGAGCAACTTTTTTGTCACTGGGGGAGCAAGTCCGCGACGCGGACTTGCGTGCCAGATCACACTTGACTTTTTCCTTCTCCGTTTTACAGCCCCAATTCGCCTAAAATCGAATATTTTTCTCAGTAGCTCTTTAGATTCAGATACCCAGCATATGCACCTAAGAACCTAACTCAAAGCAACTCTATAATCGACATGATTTCATCAAGAACTCAACAATCTCATCTGAACTCAAGAACTAAAGCCAATTTTCAAGAACATAATTCAAGAACATCATACTTTCAACTTTCTAGAACGAACTTAACGTTGAAATTAACATGATTGGTGTGTGGGTGAACAAACCCAACACTATGGAAGCTTAAATACCTGAAAGAACCATCTTCTTGAAGAACTTGAAGGAAAATCTTGAAAGATAAACCCTAGCCTTAGCGTTTCTTGAATTCCCTTGAGCGTAGAATCTTTGGAGTGAATGAGAGGATTTAGATTTAAGAAAACTGATTTTCTACACGTTAGGACAATTTAGATGACCTCCTAAGGGTTTTCAGGACTAAAATACCCCTAAAGAAATAAATAAAACGAGCTGGTAGTCGGAATTATTTTCACCAGGCAGTGAGGTCCGTATTGGCTCCGCGTCGCGGAGATGCTGCCAGGTTTGCGCGACGTTAGTAAATCAGTCATAACTTTTTACTCAGAGCTCGGAATTGAGCAAACTCGGTGGCGTTGGAAATAGGACTCGAAGGACTTTAATTTTCTATCTTGTAGCTCACCTAACTCATCTTGTACTAGGAGTTATGGTCGTTTGAAGTTGACCCAAAACTTAAGAAAATTAGGAATGACTTGAATGCTTTTCTCTTAGGTTCTTCTAGGAACTCAAGGTGTTACATCTAGTGACCTTAACACTCGAGAAATTTTAAATTCTTTAGTAAAATCCTACTCACAACGAAGACGGTTCGAGTCTTAGCTCAAAAAATTTCCGGGGTATTACAGGGACCATCAATGGTTCTCGAGTGCCGACCACGTCCAGGGCGTAGGCTCGGATCGTGACAGAAACAAATGCCACTGTTTCCCTACAAAGTGCTTCTTCTCTGCTCCTGTTTCTGATTTTAAATTAATCGCGTCAGTACAAAGCTTGGTATAAAAAATTAAAGGGTTATTGATGCATTTCGTCATCATTATTATTAGTATTAGCATCCTTCATGATAAGATCTAGCTACAGATCTTTAAATTGAAGAAACTAAAAATACATGCTAACTAAATTACCAAATTTCATTTTTTTATGGATAGAATAGCTAGGTTTTGTATTACCCTGATAATATCTAACCTATAGTCTTAATGAAAAAAGTTTCGCGCTGATAGAAAATAGTAGATATTCAGTAAAAAGTTCTTTCTTGAAAAAAACACATACAAAATATAAAGCATTTTAGAATAGCACTCATTAAGTAAAACCGAAAAAAGGTAGGATTTTATGGAATTGAAATTGTGATGGGCTCGAAAAATAATTTACAAATGCGATTTTTTGTATGAGAATTTTGAATCCCATAGCCATCTCCATGCTGGTAAATTGTCTGACTAGTTCTTGCACCATTTACTGCACATCCAATGAATGTTTCAGAAAATAATGAATTATTATTTTGAACTGTGTTCATCAGTTTCCATGTCTCCTTTATCAATAAATTGATGTGTTTTCTTGCATCTTCTTCCGAAACATCCTTCTCATTCATGTAACATTGAATTGACTTGGGAACGTCACCTCTTTCCATTTCATCCTGAATTAAGATCAGGTACATGATCATCTCAAAGGGATCGGAGTTAAATACTCTAATGTTTTATATATATACCGAGGATGTTAAAAGCATATGCATACCGAGGATGTCCCCAAATCATCGGCTAAACGAATAACAGTAGAAGACCATCGAATAATGTCAGGATAATTGGTTAAGGAATCCAAGGCCTCTTTGGTAATTGGATTTGTGACAAGGAACAATGTATGGACTAATACCACTGGTCCTCCAATTGAGATCCATCCATTTTCCATGTATTCTTCCAGACTTGGTTTATATCCATTGTGGTACCATCTTGCTTCTCGTAAGTACGATTCACACAAATCTGCCCACTAATTTAATAGAAATCAACATGTTTCAAATAAGTATATACTAGAAATTTAGATAGACTCAAAATATATAGAGCTAAGTATTTTTACTGATTTTGTAACGTAGGGCATAACGTTGATCCCTTGCTCTTTGAGAACTTCGTACGCAATTTCAGTGAAAGTGTTGAAGAGTGCAAGGTAACATACTTTCATATAATCTGGAAGTTGATCCACTGCTTTTACATCCATTCTGAATTATGTAAGGATTCATATATATTTTCTTTTAAATATTTTGTATTATATATCAATTATTGTGGTTTGAAGTATTTTAGCAGAAAGTACGTAATTACTAACCTTTGAACAGCATGAGTGAAGATTTCCAATTCATCAAGAGTGCCATAAACATCATAAATGTCATCTATAACTGTAACCATAGCAATGACCTTTGTCAACATTGTTCGACAGTATTCGTTCTTTTGAGGTTCAAACATCATGCCAGCTATCCATAAGAAAGATTCCACAATTCTATCCCTTGTAAATGGCAATTTTTCTGCAAGCCATGACGTCTTCCACCACCTTAATTACATAAAAAATAATGCTTCACATGTACTGTAAGTAGTAAGCTTATCGATCTCTCGGATTTAACTTTGTATAATGAAAAGCTAACATTAATTTGTATGTTACTCAATCAGTAAGCGTATGGACATGAATTTCAAAAGAAGTATTTAAAAATTGAAGTCATGTGTTTAGACATTCAAAAGTGGTCAGAACTAGCTAGTTTTCAAGTTGATGTGATGTTTCGTGGGTAAAAAGGTTGAAAAATTATTTTAAAAATTGTATTTTCAAACAGGATCTTAATGAATTCTTCTTCGACTTTAGTATCTACTATATTTCTAATAACTTGATACACAATTATTTACACCTTTTTTACTCACCTTGATAGATTTTTTAAATCTTGTTGGTCTGTTGCTTGCACAATGTTGAAATCCAATTTAGCAAGCTCTAGCAGAAGAGGATTAGCATTTGGGATTTTCTCATAAATGTCAATGTACCACCTTGTCTCAACTCTCAACATCTTGCAATGCAAAGGAAGTTCTAGGGCATGGCGCACTTGCTCCACTGTTGGATTGTCTGGATGATCACCATTTAAATTGTGCAAATAATTCTTTAGATGTGACGTTGCAAATGTATTGGCGGACTCCAATAAAGTAGAGGTTTCAGATTCCGTAGAGAGAATTGAAGCTTCATATAATTGTAACAATCCTTTTATATCTTCACAAAGACTTTGCTTGAAGTTACCCTGCTCATCCTTGAAATCGTTCAGTATATCTGTACGGGAGAAAATGAGTAGAAATATTATTGGTCGAAAGATATATAAAAATGACCAAACGAAGAAACTATTATGTAATTAGAAAAAATAGAGAGCACCTTGAGAGATATGAAAACCATGTTGTCTGAGGAGCCTAAACTTCAAGGCTGTAGAGTATAATGAATTATCTGTACTACTAATTTGGTCATGTATGCTCTTCAATATTTGCATAATTTCATCCTTAAAGTGGTAACTCACTCCAAGCCTTTCTAAATTATCAATCAACTCCAACTTAACATCTAGTTCTTCTATTGATCCCTCAACCATTAGCATCAAATTCTTCTTCATTTCCTCCTTCAGATTGTTAAAACGATTCATATACTTATCTCCCTACACAACACATTTACAAATTATTTTTTGAATGATACGTTGTAGAATAACGTGAGAGAATAATATAGTATAAAGAAAATGTAGGTACGTACCACATATGGATTGTGTAGCGACTGAATAAATTGAAAATCCCAAATAGGAGGCTGGTAATTCCCTGTACGCCTAAGCAGTGGTGGTTCAACTTTCATGGCAGTGTCACCGTCAGCTAGTGATGATGATGATGAGCTGAATGAAGAGGAAATTTTAGGTATTACCCTCCCCATGTTGGCCGTCAATATTGTCTCCATTTTGTTTTTGTTTATTCAATGTGTAGACAGATATATTTTTTTGAGCTTCAACAAGTTACTATAAATAGATAATTCTCCCCAGAGTTAAAGTGGTTGTCCAGTACTTTTCGCCAGCATCCGTTCTCATTAGTCTATATTGATGTTAATTTTTCAATTCAAATTAATTAACGAAATGTTTTAATTAGATATTTTCAATTTAAATTTAAGATTATTTTTTTAGGCACATGTTCTCATTAGTCTATATTGATGGTCTATTGGAGGTGAATATCATCCCCAAGTGAGGAAGCTGATTATTCAAACTGGAAGAGATAATGTCAAGATTTCATTGGAGGGAAATCTTGATAAAGTCAGTTTTTGTGTTAAATATGGATGGGCAAAAAGGAGGTCTAAAAAGTTATATGCAAATCAATCTTTGGCTCACAATATGCTCTCTAGGTTTTTTCTTTTTATTGTCCATTGAACTTTGCACCCCCATTAAAAAAAAATAAAAAAATGTATTATATATTTTAAAAACAATTTCTCTTTATAAAATAAGCAATTCAATCATATAGCAAATGTCAAATAACTTGCATTAGAACAAAATTTTATAAGACTAATTATCTTTGTTAGTTAATGTGTATCAGTGTATGTATATAAATCTGTCAGAAGATTTACGAGTAATTTCCCTGGATAATCACCCATGTTTGGGAAATTACCTTGGAATATCACCTATGTTTGTTTTAGGACCACAATATCACCCAACTTTACATTTTTTCCTCAAAATATACTTACACAAAAAAAACATTATCTCTCTCCTAATAGGATGCCATGTCACATTATTCCTTTTTCATTATTAACATGTTTTAAAAAAAATTTAGACAACCCATATTACCTAGTAAAAAAATTACATAGCCCAAAATTTCTACCCTAGTTCTAGGGGATTAGGCAGCAAATCCAAATATGAGCTCCTTCGATTCTTCAAGAAAATATGTGACTTCCTCTGATTTTCCAAGCGAGATAATGTTTTTATATGGGCACTAATGGGCAATGGCACCTTTTTGTTGAGTCCGGAGTCAAAAGTGCAACTTTTTTTCTTTAAAAAACAAAAACGGCACATCAAAAAAAAAATTAACCAAAAGGGCAAAATTGCTCATGACGGAACGATTTTGTTCTGACAAAAATTGACGCCGCTCCGCTAAAAGAAATAAAAATTGTTGCCGATTTTCTCAAAAAAATATTTTTTCTTTAAAATCACTGCTATAACAGCGTTTTTATATAAAAAAAATTGAAAGTATAGCAGCGATTTTGTTTAAGAAATTAAAAAAAAGTTTTGAAGTTAAATCGCTGCTATAGCAGCGATTTTGTTTAAGAAATTATTATTTTTTTAAAAAAATCCTACCCTTGCAAAGAATTAATTAAAATTAAAACTGAAGCCAGCGATTTTCATAAAATAGAAATTATTTTTTAAAAAAAAAAATCCTACCCTTGCAAAGAATTAATTAAAATTAAAACTGAAGCCAACGATTTTCATAAAATGCTATAATGAATTTCTTTTTTGAGAAAATCGCTGCCAAATGCAGCGATTTTTATTTCTTTTAACGGAACAACGTCAATTTTTGTCAGAAGAAAATCGATCCGTCAGGAGGGATTTTACCCTTTTGGTTAATTTTTTTTTTGATGTGCCCTTTTTGTTTTTTGAAGGAAAAAAATGACCCTTTTAGCTTCGGACTCCCTTTTTGTTGATATTTTAATTCATTAGAGTAATAAGGTATCCATATTGTCAAACTACAAATGATATAATGTTTTTAAAGAATTTTAAAAAATGTTAATAATAAAAAAGGAATTAAAAAAATGTTAATAATAAAAAATGAATAATGTGACATGGCATCCTATTAAGAGAGAGATAATATTTTTTTTGTTTCAAGTATATTTTGAGGAAAAGAGGTAAAGTTGGGTGATATTGTGGTCCTAAAACAAACATAAGTGATATTCCTAGGTAATTTCTCAAACATGGGTGACTATCCAGGGAAATTACTCGAAGATTTACATATTTCCTATGTGAAATTATGATTTTCTGGTTCTTCAGGTGAGTAGCTCACCATGGTGCTGTAATCCCCCCCCCCCCCCTTCATTTAAAAATATATATATATATCTCTCACAAATATACACAATCTAGTCATACTGATCTTATAGCTATTAACCAAACACAAATTACTTTTTTTCAAAAGTATTTTTCTGAAAAATCATTTTAATTTAAGTGCTTCTATTTAGTAGCAATGTCAAACATGCTATAATTTTAATGAGAGTTTTTAGGGTACTTACAGGCCTTGCAATTTTTCTCATGTTAGGTAGCTACTAAGTCCTCAAAATGTGTATTTAATGTTTCTAAGTTATATCTAAACTATTAACCTAAACTTTAAGTAAGTAACTAACTAATGCTTTTCACATGTTGTGGAAACAAATAAAAGCTTCCCTATACATAGATGTACAAGACTTTAAGGGGTCGTTTGGTAGGCCGCATTAAAATAAATAGTCCATGTATTATGTATGGTATTATTTAGTATTATGTTTGATAAAAATTTGGGACTATGTATAACTAATCCATGGCTTAGTTATACCTCCTACATGGTATTATGGGATGTATTATTAATACCTTTCATTTGGAGGTATTAGTAATACATGAGATATAGTATCATGGGATAAGTCTATGTAAAGACAAAAATATCCCTTAAATCATTTTAATTATTTTCTTGATTTTATGTTTTATATTTGTCTAGTAAATTTATTTAAATAAATTAGCTTACAAATTATTTAGAGAGAGAATTGTTCTTCTAGTAGCTAGTTAGAAGGCCATACAAATTAATGACAATTATTTATCCTCAAATAATTTAAGTGAAAAAATAGGAAAACATAAAAACAAAATTGTTCTTCTCGTAGCTAGTTAGAAGGCCATACAAAAATAATATTGTCCGGACGTAATTATTTAGCTTAACCCAATTACATAATAATTCAAGGGTATAATTGGAAAGAAGTTTTTTATAAAGTTTTAATCCAAACCCAAGATGAGGTGTGAAACAATGAACCAAACACTTGATAAAAATTAACTCTGCAATACTAATCTTTGCACTATTAATTTCTGCATTACTAATCCCATTATTACTAATCCATACATTATGTATAATATTGATTGAAAATCTAAATATGTACATTTTAATTTGATAAAAATAAAGATTTAATTCGAAAATGTATTATACATTTTAAAAATAATTTCTCTTTATAAAATATGCAATTCAATCATATAGCAAGTGTCAAATAACTTGCATTAGAACAAAATTTGATAAGACTAAATTTTTTTTGTTAATTAATGCGTATGTACAATAATCAGTCAGAAGATTTACATTTCTCCCATTAGAACAAAATTTGAAAAATTTAAAAAGTATCGAAGGACAAATGTAACTTTTTTTTAAAAATAAGTAGAAGACAAATTTGGTCCTTTTCCGTTGATTCTAAAACTTTAGGCACGTGCCTTGCTTCTTTGCAGCCGGCTCTACTAATCGGGAAGACTCTATTTTTTCATCTAGGTGGTTAACGTATTCGCTTTCAAACGTAAAAAAAGGAGTTCTATAATATGAATGTATTAAAAAAAAAAAAAAGAGAGAAACTGAGAGTTGATCCCTAGTCGTCAAGGTAAATAACTTAACATCCAATCAATTGCAGTATAGCCTTCAGCATGGGCGCCAATGAATAATATTAGACCAATTTTTTTCAAAAAAAGATATATATATCTAGTTTTATAGGGAAGCCATAGGTTCACATAGCCCATTTTTTATATGTAACTTCGCCCCTGGACGCTGTGATAATTCACATTAAAAAATTTGAGTCAAAAATAATCAGTAGGAATACTTTATCGTATGTTCAATCGAAATAGATTATATGCACATAATTCAAGTATCTAAATACTTTTTAAGAGAAAATACATTCAAATTTTTTTTTGAAGTTGGTCGGATAACTTACTTTTAACACTTAAATTATACGGATGTTTAAATACCCCTTAACAACTTTGAAGTGAATTAAATACAATCTCCTAAGTGATGACGTGCCAAAGAAAGTGAGTTCACTCACCTAATAGCGTGTGAAAGAATTAAAAATGGAAAAAGTAATTATAGAATCATACACATACTATTTTTTTATAGATCAATATTTAATTAATATTTTAAATATTATTTTCCTTATATGTGGAGTAACTTTTATTAAAATCCAAAAATAGATTAAAATGAAGCTTTTACCTCTTCTTGGCTTAGCAACAACTTTAGCTTCGAAGTTAATTGTTTAAGATGTGGTGGATCTATTTTTGGATATTGGAGGTAACTTGAAATCTGATAAAGATGTGGTGACGCTGGAGAAGGAAATGTGGAGTAAATTTTATGGGGCTGGATTTTGGAGAAGTCCCTCTCAAAAGCTTTGAAGCTCATTGTTAATGGTGTATTCAGGAAGAAAGAAATAGCGAACTGGTGGTTTGGTTGGGGTTTTGGGGAAGCGGTGGTTTGGAAGTTACGATGAAAGAAGTTTGGACGGTGAAATTCGTTGAAAAATACGAAGAGGAAAAAAATGAATAGTGAAAAGCTAAAAATGGTGAAGAAGAAGGGAGAAGAAAGAAGTGATGAGGGGGGGGGGAGAGTTTGGGGGAAATGTATTTTTAATTAATTAATGTAAATTAATTTAAAGAAATGTTAAAGAAAAAATGGTGAAAATAATTAATAAAAAAAATTAATTAATTAATAACATGGTGCTGACATGGCTATGATATGGCATTTACATGATTGTGATTTAACAAGTGAGAGTGACATTATTCACTTCAAAAATGTTAAGAGATATTTAAACACCCGTATAGTTTAAGTAGTAAGTAAATTGTTCTGCCAAGTTCAGGGATATTTTATGTGTTTTCTCAAATTTTAATCACAAACTTAAAGAGTTTATTAAGAGAGCTGGTGAATTTCACCATATATTCGTTTTTATGGATTGAATAGTAGCTTCGTATTACCAATAATCTAATCTATCAAAGCCTTAATCAATAAAGATTCTTGATATATGTATCGATAGAAAATAACAGATATCCAATAAAAAGATCTTTCTTAAAAAAAAATACATAAAAAAATAAATTGTAAAGCATTTTAGAATAACACTCATAAAGTATACATATATAAGTAAAATTGAAAAGGTTATGGAATTGAAATTGTGATGGTCTCGAAAAATAATTGGAAAATGCGATATTTAGTGTGAGAATTTTGAATCCCACAACCATCGATCTCCGTGCTGGTAAATGGTGTGTCCAGTTGTTGCACCATTTACTCCCCATCCAAGGAATGTTTTGAACCTTTAATCCATTGGTTAGCCCCTAAAGTTGACATTAATTTTCACTTAGATATTTTAACTAGATTTTGTTTATTTGAGACACCTCACGTAAGACTTCAATATGTCATTTTGACACTTTTTTTTGTATTCGACAAAAAAATGATGGTGAGTGTGTTTCACTCGCGGATGTTGTGTAAAGTGTTAAATTAAATGAGGACATTTGTCATTTTGGTAAAAAGATAATTCTTAAATAATAAAGTATCAATTATAAAATAAAATTAAAAAAAAGATGGCCAATGAATCAATGACACATGGCATTTTTTTCCAAATAATAACAAAAAAGGATTTAATCACCTTAAAAAATCTTTAGGATCGGAGAAGCATCTCCCACCCCCACCCCCATCGTGTTCTCCAACATTGTACAAGCAAGCACATTAGCACACACCCCTTAATCTTCTTTACTATATATCCGAAATTTTCTCCATCTCTTTTACTTAAATATTGTTCAATCCTTCTATGGTATAACTTTACTGAACTTGTGTAACTCAAAAAATTTCAAATAAATGCAGCTCCACAAATTTTATTGCTAAAAAATAATAATCTAAGATCCAATGTACTTCTAAAAATACAAATGTATACGTGTTCATATCACATTGTTAAGTATCTTTTAATGGGGATTATCTCATTTTCTTAGTGACTTCTTATTCATCCCCAACTTTTCACGTTTTTTCTTCAAATTTCAGTCTTTTTTTCTCAAATTAAATTGAGGAAGAAAGGCATCATCCTTGGGAAATCTTGGGAAAAGCTCTGGTGTTTCGAATTAGATTCCTCGTTTGTGGCATCATCGAATCTATTTCACCATGGAAGAAGTTCAAGCTTGAGAAAATGGTGGTTGAAAAAATGGGGAAGAAGAAGGAAATATAAAATAAAAATTGGTGTCTAAAATGAACACAGCTTAGTTCAGGTGTGTAAATGAAAGTTGGTGCCAACTTTAAGGAGACACCAATGGGTTGATCAGTGGTAGTAGGCGCTTGTTATGCAGATCAATTTTGAAATCAAAATAGTGAAAAAACTATTTTCACAGATGTTTTTGCAGCCTTGGTCTCATTTGTTAACATGAAATTCCCACAAATTGGTGAACTTTTTGTGTGTGAGGATCGTTCTGCAATTGCGTAAAGCTTATAACAATAATAATATAATAAACCTCAGACATTTATTGGTGATCTTGTCAATCAGCTAGTTGTTCATGAAACTATATATAGTTACACGTTTACTCGGACAAACCTAGCTACCGATGATAGTGTTGATGTTGCTGTTGGTTTCGTTAAGGAATGTTGAAAATCAGACTAGAGCCTGGTCAGGAGATGGAGTTATGCTAAATGTTATTATTGGAGTGTTGCAGTGACGACAAGACTTTTCTTCATTACTATCCACTTTTGATCAACAAAGTTCACCAGAAGAATTTAATTAGACAAATAGTCATTCCTGCAAAATTACTCGATGATCCACATATATACTTGAAACTAATAAACTGTATCTGTGTAATGTTGAAAAGTTTTTTTCCTCATTTACTAGGTACTAATGCACTGCCTTGCCATGTTGATGGTCTATTGGAAGTGGACATGGGTATTATCATTATCCTTACGTTACTAAATGTAGGGCTTAAAATACTTAACTAACCTCTGATTCAATTGAACATTTTTTTTTTAAAAAAAAAAATCTGTCTACCTTCCCAGGGGGGTGGTGTATTTGGTACAGACCTCTACCTACCTGTTAATTATATAAGCAAAAGTACAATGGAGGGGGACAAGACCCTATACCTTCATGTAATAAAATATTTTAATTAGACATTTTCAATTTAAATTTAAGTTTTGTTTTTTTTTTGCGCATATGTTATCATTGTCTATATTGATGGTCCATTGGAGGTGACCATCATCCCCAAGTGAGGAAGCTAATTATTCAAACTGGAAGAGATAAAGTCAAGATTTCATTGGAGGAAAATCTTGATAAAGTCAGTTTTTGTGTTAAATATGGATGGGCAAAAAGTAGGTCCAAAAGTTATATGCTAATTATTGGAAAAATTACTTGACAGGGGATTTTTAATAAATAATTACTGATTTTAGCGAAATTTTTTATTTATTATCATTTATAGTAACATATAGCTATACTATGATAAATCTATAATATATATTAAAAGTGAATTATGTATGCAATATATATGTATTATAAGTGTTTTAAAATATATTATGGTTGTTTGGTAAGAAAATGACACATTGTATTATAACTCTTAAGTGTATTAAAATGTGTGATAAATGTATTATCCATCAATAAAACTTATTATATGTGTTTTATAAATTGTTTACTGTAATATGTATTAAAAGTGTATTATAAATGTATTAAAAGTGATCAAGTGAAAAAAATATTGCTATAAATGATAAATATTTTCTTAATAGTGTATATTCATGTAAGTTTTCCAAATAATCTTTGGAACACAACATACTCTCTAGGTTCATCTTTACTTGTCCACTTGTATGCTTTTGGCATCCTATGATGTTTTCTCCTACTTTTTTTTGTTTACGAATCTTGCCTTGAGTTTAAAATCATGTTCCAAGTTGGAGAAGTTGACAAAAATGGCGTTTTACTTTTTAAGCATAGGATCAAATAGTCTCTCAAGTAAGTTTGGTATAAGTTGACAAAAATGATCTATTATATTTTAAACTATGTTTAAAATAATATCTTTAAGTATGTAGTTAACAATATATGGACCTATAAGTATAGCAAAAATTATCACTTCAATTCTCCGACAAAATATTATCTATAGAATTTGACATGAACTAAAAAACAGCATAGTTGACATTCCCGAATTGTTTGAACAGAATTTATTCCGTGGCAGATCAGGGGATTGTTTTGCAGATCATCACAATTGAATTCTCCTATTTTCACCCATGTATGTTTTTGCAGCCTTGGTCGCATTTGTTAATAATTGCAAAAAGCTTATGACAATAATAATAAACCTCAAGACATTGGCAACGATAAAATCTATTTATTGGTCATAGTGTTCTGAGTTCCAATTTTTTCTTTGTTTAGGAGGTTAAATGTGAAAACTGAGAAACTAAAGTTATACTAAGCCAATGTGACGCACGCAAGTCTCAACCACAAAGCAAGCTAGCAATGAGTAAATATAACCATGTCAAGTAGCAATAATTTCTTCATCATCTACATTTTAAGGAGCTAGAGAACCTTTACCAGATAAAGCTTAGCAACACTGTTGAAAGATAAAGAAAACAGAAATACCTGATTGATGCTCAACCATATAGTCTGTGTATATACACGTATTACCTCTGGACAGATAAGTCCTGGACAAAAAAGATGGATAAATGAACAGTAAATGCCTGTTGAGACACAAGGTTTATTTACACTTGTACCTATTTCCTTCAGAATCCATTTCAAACAAAAAAAAATGCTGTACATGCAGGTCTCATGAAAGGTCTATGCTGACTCTTCGTGGACGGCGAAACAAATGCCTCCGTTTCCCTACAAAGGGCTTCTTCTCTGATCCTCTTTCTGGTTTTAAATTAATTGCTTCAGTACAAAGCTTGGAGTTGACCTCCTCCGAATCCTGGACAAAACAGCTTGCAAGTTCCTCACTTGATGTTGAAGACAACACAATTTGGTTTATTCCTGTTCCAGAACTGGACACCTCTAAAACTTCAGGCACGTGCCTTGGTTTCTTTGCAGACTGCTCTACTAATTGTGAAGACGGTATCATTTCATTTACTTTATAAACATAGATATCAGAGGAGTTAACCTCCCTATGGCACAAAGCAGAAGTATTGGGTAGGTTATTTTCCAGACCATTCCATTCATGGTTCTCATTTTCCTCCTGAGAATCCAAAACGATATAACCTGCTGCAAGTTCCTCAGGCAAAGTTGGCGAGTTATATTTTGCTGCATCAGGATCAGATACTTCCTCTACTTTAGCCCTAAGATCTTCCTCATCATGTATCTCTATAGAATTTGGATATCCACAGTAACTACTGCTTCGACAACCTGGATTCATCTTTTCAGTATCGAGGCTACTAGCATTTCTTCCAAGACACATGGTCTCGGATCTCAAAATGCTGGAAGCATGTGCTGCTGCAAAATGTTCAACAGGCTGCCTCCTTGATTTTATGGCTGGTGAAACGGTCATCTGCTCTTCAATTGTCTCTTCCTATTAAAAATATGAGAAACAAGACACCTAAGTTAAACACTGGAGATGTGCTCGGATGTGCAAATATAAACTGGATGAGAGACAGGAACAATGTGAAGTGACAACGCTAGGTTAAATATAAAACCCTCTGAACATCAGAACTAAACTCGAGAAAGGAGACAAAATGAAACAACAAAATTGATTGCTTTGTCATAGATGTAGTTGCAAAGGCCTCTTTACCATTTTCTCTACCTTGTCCCGTACCACCCCAAACCTTTATCACCCAACATCCAGAGAAATGGTTTGATAACTAACATCTGGAAATAGTGAAGTTCCCTAAATTATTGTCCTCGCCACTTCCTTACTTCTATTGTACAAATTTTATCACAGACAATTCCCTGGGAACATGAGCAATCACAAAAGAGAATCCATGCAACTATTGTATGGACTTTCATCCAGAAAGACCTATCATTTTGTCACAAAAAGTAGCAAATTTAAGCAAAAGAATGATGAGATTGATTACCTCTATAGGAGACATGACATTCCTAAATGGATTCAGTGAAGCCTTTTGCCCATAAAGCCGACAGCTGTCATAAGTAAGTGACTTTGCAGAATCTTGTGGTCGAGACAAATCTCTAGAAACCACTTCTGATACTCCAGCACTCTTGAAACCCCTTATAAGGTTGGCTACAGGAGATAAAGTAGGAAGTTCATCCTCACGTGACCTCAAGTCATCAGCATAACTTGCTTCTCTTGCATTGCGAGTTTCCTGAAGTAAGCTCAAACTAGTATTTTCCTCTCCTAAGCAATTTAAAGACGAGTTGTCATCAAAATCAGCCGGAGAAACCTTCTGAGCTCTACTTCTGGTAATTTCACAGATCAATCTCTTGATATGTTCCCGTTTGCAATCAACATCTTCAGTTGAGAACCAACTTTCAGAAAGCTGAAAAATAGAATATTACCAAACTATCAAATAAAGTTCCAGTAGAACATGAATAATCATTCAACACAAGAAACAATAGCAGCGCTCCAGTAGAAGTTGATCACATATGTAACTGTCAAAATGGTTTACCATCAACTCTAAGACTGTTAAATCCCTACAGGGTTCACTAAAATCGTGCAATCTTTAACTACAAACATCAAACTAATGAAGTAATGATTCACAGAGATGAGAGGGGCGGCATTTAACAGACAATAACTCGTGAAAAGAGGCATCTTGTAGCCACATAGTGCAACACCCTGCAAATCTTTTTTTTTATTGAGACAAGTAACAAAACACCCTGCAAATCTTAACATTAGGCCACAAGTAAGGAATGACACAACAAAAAAAGAAGTTGCAGATGATGGGAAGAGACAAGCACAATGAATCATCATAACTCGTAGGCTCACCCCCCACCCCTTTATTGAATTTCACAACTACAGGACAGGAATGTTAAATTACCTTAAGATTTTTTTACCAAACTTTATTACTCCCATCACGATGCGATACCAAGTATGACAATGTAAGTTCTTAGAGTTAAAGCTGCATGACGTAGTTCAGATTCAGCGACCTTAAAATTGCACCTCATCAAGGAAACAGTTAAATCTATGTAGTATCAACTAAAATTGCAGAGTACTAACAATCCACGTCCCATCCATTTTGTAACATTATATGAAGCCTTGTTATATAAACAAAGTCAGGTTAATGAGAGATGACAATGAATGAACTGCAAAAGCTTCTCCAAAGTCCAAGATATACTCACTTCATGCCTCCCAACTTACATAAAATTATAATTCTCAGCTCAATTCAAAATGATATAACAAGGAACAGACAGCTTACAAATTTGGAGGATGCACTTAATAGGGAGAGCTTGAAGTTGATTGGAGCCTGCTCCAGAAAAAGTTCCACATAATGGAGCAGAAAAAGGCCACAATCAAATGAGTTCTCCTGCTGTGGCAGCTGGAAGCAAAAGTAATAGGAGTGTGAGAGTAAGATGTTTTAATATAAAAGACTCTGTAGCAAAATACAGATTTGTTATGATGGTTTACTGCAGTTTTAATTTTCCAAAAGTATTTTTCAAGAAGTATGCATGCGAGCTGCAAACACCAAACTTAACCCAAGTCTCGGCAAATAGATGAAATCATGAAAGAGACCAAATACTATAGGAAATAGAATCGATACTGCAGAAAACTTAACAATGTATACATTTGATGAAAACCAATTTGCAAGAGAATGTGGTCGCTAAATCCCTTATTATATGCTATATGAGAACATTAAAAGTAGTAACTCTTCCTGTAACACGTCATTTTTCACTGGAGTCTGCTCACCTCTATGTACTCAACTGAATCCTCCTCGAAAAGTTGTGGAATTCTTTCTTCTTCCTTTGGTTTATTTCAGTTTATGCTTCCCCTCCCCGTCTTTTTCTTTTTTTCCCCTTTTTTTAGTATAGTTTGAGGCAAGGTTGGTTGGAAAAGTCGAGGGGAGCAGTTCCCAATTCGACCAAAAAGGGTCAATGGAACTGTTCAATATATAACACAAGCCCCAAATTTTTTAAGTGTTCCAGTGATAAATGATTAACATTTATACAGTATAAGTAGTGCAAGAGCTTTGTACTCAAGCAGACAATTAACAAATGCTAAATTAGCAAATATAAATATGTGAGGAGCACGCAAAGTTCCCAACTGAAGGACTTTTCTGTTGAACTAATGCTATAAAAGGCTAGTTAGAATTTTGCAGTTTAATTCAAAGAGCAGTAAAAACGCAATGGGGCATTTCATAGTTTTAGAAAGAGATGATTGCTTATCCAAAAAGTATGAGCATACATCACCACATAGGCCCAAGATTAAGGGTTTTTTTCTCAAATGTACATAGAAACAAAATCAATCTGTAGAACTGTAGCATTCAGCAGGCATGAAGATTTGAAATTTGAAAAATCGCCATGTTCAAATGTAATAGATGCAAATTAGAAAAACCAGTTGGCTACATGAGCTGTACTTTACATGGCCACATTACTCGCAATGGATTTTAAAGAAAAAAGTGCAGATAGATGATTACGTTGGAGATGTAGAAAAAGATTTTTTTAAAGTTAAAAAGTAGGTTACTTTATAAAGAGTAGTTATCAAGGTAAAAGAGTAAGATACTTGTGACTCGTTTGGTTTGGGAACAAGTTCTCCCGGAATTATTCATCCCAGGATTGTTATCTCACCCCCTCAATGAGGAATAAGAATAATCTTACAATACCAGGATAAATTATTCCAAAATTTAATCCCAACCAAACATGGGATAAACTCATCCTAAAATTAGTCCAGGGATTAGTTATCCCTCGTACCAAGCAAGCCCTTAAGGAAATTGGTCGAGTCTAGATAAAGTACTTAAGGAAGTTGGTCTAGTTCTTTTTCCTCTCAATCTCTACTCTTTTTTTTTGGGGGGGGGAGGTAAGGGGGCACCTTCATATCCCGGCTAGCTTGCACACACCTCAACTAATCCAGCGCGTAGTATGTCCAATCCAAAAGTACAGATGCTCAACAGCAAGTCGGGGTGCTTTTTGGTTGCAACTAGCATCTTACAAGTTCATAGTCTCTGATAGTGTCAAATTTTAAGGAACTCAGTTCTTCCCATGTTTTCTCAAAAAACAACCTCACTTCTTTCCATTGCAATTCTAACCCTGTAGTTTAGACAATTACAAAAATCACACCTATGCAAAACATGAATTTTGAGTAACAAATATTTCTTCATATCAATATGATGTATTCAGATATTGGTACATACTTTATCTTTCAAGTATGTCAAGGAGATGGATATTGGGCTTAATTTAAGAGACGTTTGGTAGGGTGTGTAAAAATAGTTATGAATAGGGTGTATTAGTAATGTTGATAGTAGGTAGGTGTGTTAAAAATAACAAGCATTGCATAGTTTCTAAATAAATAAAAAGGTTGCTTACAATCATACCCTCCACAAACATGGTGGAAAGGATGTGGAAAAGGTTTTGAGGGGCCATTGTGTCTTTAACCCTTGCATTGTTAATACCATGATGTGCCATGTATTAGTTTTATATAGCATAATACCAAATAGATTGTATTATGACATAGGTTGAAAGTGTACCAAACAAAGGTATTATTAATACACAAAGTTAATGCATCCTACCACACGGCCCCATAGAGTTGGCCAATGAGGTAAGGATCATCCAAACCCATATTAGATAACAACAGTTATTAACACACCGAACTGGACATCTGGAGTGTCAACTAGATGTCAAGTAACTAATAAATTCACTTCCCCAAATTGTAATTACTATAGAGTAAATAAATTTAACAGAACCTCACTAGATTATATTTATGATACAATAAAGTACACACCCTTCGGGGTGGCCCAGTGGTTTGGGCTTGGGACTTCCATGTTGGAGGTCTCAAGTTCGAAACCCCTTGCCAGCGAAAGCAAGGGGTTTGCCTTCTGGGTCGAGCTCGTCGCACCGGGCTTGCCTAGTGCGGGTTACCTCTCCTATGTGGTTTGCGAGCTATTGCATAGGAATGGGGGTTTTACCCTGTGTGCACCCAAAGGGTAGCGGCTGCGGGTTTCCCTTGTCATCAAAAAAATAAAGTACACATGAGGTTGAAGATGATAATAAAACTGTTTTGTTAACCTATAAACAGCAAGAGTGTTCATTATATATGTGCAATAACCAGATTTCCGAAAAGACAACCATTGTTTTTGTTGACAATAACCTGAAAAAGGAAACGACATTTTCAATGCATGATAGAGAGATGGGGAATGAGTGATACCTCAAGACGGACAAACGGAAGACTCGAGAACTTCTTCGCAACATCCTCTCCCACTTCCTTGTGCCTCTCTTTCCACTCTTCCAATAAGTAACTGCACTCACATGACATGAAAATTTCTCTATTTCCATTATAATACAGAAGCTATCTCAGTCTTTCATAGTGAAATCTCAAACGAATTTCACTAATATAGAGACTACCTTATAAAGAAGTCTCCAGAAAATCGTAGTAGTTTGCAATATGCTCAGTTGTTTGGTGAATGACTAAATGCTACATAGTAAACTATTGATACGGATGTACATATAGTATACAAAACATGGTTAACTTGTTGTACATGATTGTGACTAAATTAATAACTACTCAACCTTGTGAGTCAAAGCAACCAAAAATGGATTATACCTTTGTATAAGATTCTTCAGGCCTTTGTGGCTCCCTCGGATTGAGTCCATGTGCAAGATGCATGGAACCCTAGATGATTTCTCCATTTCTTCCTCTGCTAGAAACTTTCTCCAGTTAAGAATAATCCTTTTAACTAGAAACAGAAACATACAAGCCATGGAATATACCTCTAAAGGTAACAACCTCGCCAGGGTGACAGATGACTATCAAACTCCAGTGGAGACTGTCACAAGAAAATAATGTTATAGTGGAGAGCAGCACTATAAAAGTCCTAACATATAAGATGGCTCTATAACTACTTCTACCTGAAGTTGACTGGAATAAAAATGAAATCCTTTCCAAAAAGATTGACTTTTGTGGTCCATCTACGAACTCGCAGGAAAGCAGCTCTACCTTCACAAGCTTTAGAAGGATCTCTATCCAGATCAGCAAGCTTTCTAAAGAAAAAGCTATTGAAAAAATGGAACCTGCCTTTTTCCTCCAGATTCATTTTGTTCTTCAAATACCTGGTAATTCATTTCATCAATTGAGTTTTCCATCTTCACTGTGTTACACAAACAGATGAGCAGGAGAAGAAAAATACAAGGAGATAAGAAGTAGAGAACTTCAGAATAACTGAATGAAATTTCCATTTCCTCGTCTTAGGATGTTGAAATTTGTGGTTTCCAAGAATGATTTTGAATATCATTTTCAGAACAATAGTGCAGAACAGTGCAGTCATAGACCAGAAGAAAGTATTCAGGGTAGATCTCCATCTTACTTCCATAGATGAATTGTTTGAATAAATTCTATATCCGTAGTACATATACACACACAGAAAATTGGGGAAAAAAAATTAAAAGGAATTTTGAAATGTTATACCCTTGGATGATGATTAGAGCCAGATAATAAGGTAATAAAAGTAACAGAGAATCCTCCATATATGACTACCCTAGTATCACCAGTATTAGTTTGTTCTCAAGCACTGGGTACTCTACAACATGGTTAGGTGTTGAAACAAGCAAACCATTAAAATTTATCTTTGGGTGTGAACCTTGAAAGAAACTCCTGTAATACTGTGAACAGCATGAACTGGGACTACAGAAGATCTGATAGTTATTTGCAATGGGGCCTATATTTTGCAAATGGAGGTGGTTGATTCATGTTGCCCATAAACAAACATCTATAACCAGGAGAGAGGAAGGGATAGAGCAATGGAAATAACCAAGTCTGGTAAAAGATGAACCTACTATGCAGTGAAATGATCACGCGTCAATCATGCAGTAAATTTTGACCTGTCCTGATAAAAAAGCTGAAACACAAAGTAGTAACATTTGACCTAAGAGTAACACAGATGCCAAGCCACTAAATGATTCTTTTTATTTGCGGTCTAACAAAAGTAGATCATACTACCAGATGTTGATAACGAACAGCATGTCAATAGTTAATACTTACGAGAACAACTAAGTTCAAATAGATGAATAATTCCAGAAAGAAAGATTATAAGAACAAAAAACATTAGCTAAATTTAATTCCAATCCAAGTTAGCAAGATTTGGGAAGTACCAACTGAAATACGTACATATAAACTCACATAATGTAAAAGTCAATGATGGTATCATTGACGAAAGTCTTAGGCTTTAATAGATCAACATCTCTCTTACTTATGGAAACAGCATCTGGATCCCCTTCTGGAAAAATAATTTCTTCAAAGTTATCCCTGGAACTGTAGATAATGAAATAAGATTGAAACATGAAACAATGTGAAATTACTAAAGATACACGGAAGTTGGAAGCATGTGTAATAGGAAGATTCAGAAGTGGAAGACGCATAACTTATGGCAAAACTTTCAAACTTAGCTCTTAATCACTGTCCATTAACCCAATTCAAAGTTCAATATTCAACTATCTTTCTCTTTTCGTTTTTGGTGTGATTTTAAATTCATTAGATTACTGTAAAGATTGAGCTTTTACAGTAAATAGTGCTAGAAATACATAGAAGAAAGAAAAGTCTGAGGAATATATATCTTACCCTAGAACTTTATAAATACTACATGAACCCAAGATATGTAAAACTAGCAAACTTAGTCTTTCATCCTGGCTCTCCACCTCATAACTGCATCAAATCTTTTGGCAACAAAAGAGAAAAATCGCCACTAAAAGACCTTGTACAATAATTCATAAGTCAAAGACAAAGACAGGAGGAGTGGGCATATGGTCAGTCACCAGTAACTGTTTAAATCGCCAATTGCAAATTGAAGAGCTGGTCATTCTCTCTGACCTTAATCAACTTGCCACCATCAGATTCACATTGAAAAGCAACAAGGATAAGTATCTCTTACTTGGGATGATCATGCTCTTCAACTGAAATGCTTTTCCGTCCAAAAAATGGACTATAGCTCCTTGTGGGATCAAGTCTGACAAAGGAAGCATTATCATGATATAAACATATTAAGAATTCTATCAAACAGGGGAAAGGGAATTAACAGCAAGATTTTAAAAGCTACTCATGGGCAAATCAATAACAAATTGAACCTTAATCATCCATTCCTGATACTACAATCATCTTTAGTAGTTTCACTCAATTCATACATCTCTTGTCCCTCAGACAGTCAATCCCACAACAATGAAGCGTGTCATACAAGGCCAGGAGAATAAATTTAGAGAACTTTTTCAATCAAACAATTTCCAAATCCACAAATTCTAGTGGGAAAAAAAAACGTTCTGCTCCCACAGTCCATCAAAGAACAAAACCCACTTTCTTCATCAAAAGAAAGAGCTTAAGCATTGTACACAGGAACACAAGTCTAACATTGAAGCTTAGCCAGACAAATCTGGAAAACAATAAAAGAGTATCTCAGCTGTGCATGGGGGAGGGCAGGGTGTTGAGACATTTGCCAATAAAACACAGATAAAGAAGGAATTAAAAGTAAACTTCATCATTACTGTCAAAAAGGAACTCAAGATCACCAAAGTATATTATCTATAAAATAAGAGTTAAGAGATGAGCCATCAATGCATTGTTCAATGATGTATCTTACGCTGTAATGTTATTCCATTTATCTTTGTATCGCACATTCAGCATCTTAATTGCTTCTTGTATTTCGGACCAATCAGGGTCGAACAAAGCAAATGTTAACACAATAGCACCTGTAAATTTAGAGATAGTTTCATGTAAACAAAGATTAATCAACATTGGGATCACAGCTTAGAAAACTACCTATATTCTCCCCTAAGAGTAAATTACACAGAAAAATCTAACATTTCAATTTCCAAATCAAGTCTCGAATCCCTTCAAAAGCCATATATTTGATCCATCAAACAGTTACATTCAACGTAATCTCCAGTACGTTTATGAGCAACAGTAATAAATTTTGAGTTTTGGCAAAAATATAGCATTCTCTTCTCCAACCTAATTGTAACAATTAATCTAGCTCAAGCACAAAGCAAGATTTTATTTTAGAGCATGACAGAGGTTCTTTAGAACAATACAGAGGATAGCATGACTCAGCTTCTAGCAATTGCAGATTGAAACCATGAAATTAATCTTCAAATGTTGAGAAATGTAATAAAAAAAGGAAACCATCTAATTTACAATATCAACAATTTATGGGAAAGTATTCTATTGAACTCCTCAAACCTGAACTTTCATTATCAGTGTTAGCTACATCTGAATCCTTGGATTTGAGGTACAATTCCACAAGGGCAGTTTCAACCTATCATTAGCAACAAAGAAGTTAGCAAAGCTCCACTTGCCCTGTTGGTGTGGGGAAAAAAAAGAGAGGACGCACTATAACTCACACTTTTGCACCACTCTGAGTTAATAGTGATAATATCACAAAGTGTCCACTCAGATGTAAATGGTAACTTCATCCCGAAGGAGCCCTCAAGCTTTATGGAACTGCATGAAAAGGTCAAAATGGAACTTGTAGAATATGTATCTTCATACATGATGTGATCAGGTTTAACAACCACCGGAACTTTCTGCAAAAAAGTAGCAAAATGGAAGGTGAAACATGCAATAGTTTTCTGCAAGCTTTGAAGAAATTTCAATCACAACTTGCATCGTTTTTTTTTTTTGATAAGGTAAATTTTTTTTTACTAACAACTGGAGAATCCCCGTATACAATACCAAAAGAAGAGACCCAGCAACAAAATATGGTTCTTAACTTTCATCATTATTTGTGTTTGATTCACTTTCTAAAATGGTTTAACCACTAATAGGGGAAAATACATGCCCATCTCTCCTTTCTCTCTTCTTCACAAGCTCTCCTCCTGCCCCTTCACCACTTCAAGCTTGGCAGTAAAGGAAAAAAGCAGGAAGATTGATGCAACATCAGCAATATATCATATCCTGAAATCAACTTAACACATACCTAAAAATGGAACAGACATCACATTCTACCTTGCTGATTCACATTATGAGTTTTGAAGTGTAATGGAACGGAGAAGGAGTTGGGGTTTGTGTTGTATTTACCAACATACAGCTTGAATCCCACGGCAAATGATTTTTAATTATTAACGTGTGACTGATGTCTGGGTTCAATATGCTTTATGTTAGAAGTGCATTAACTAATAAACTGAAGCCTACACTATGTCACATGGATCTTCCAAAAGTTCAACAACACCAAGTTGCCAACAGAGAAACTGAGGACGGCACATTGACTAGAAGTAAAATCCGAACTTCTTTTAGAAAGATTACTATTAGAAGTTCAAAGTTATGATGGAACAAACAAAGCACCCAGAGAGGCTTGCTCTAGCAGATAACAAGCATTAATATCATTTTTCTTCTGTGGAACATCCAATTTTCAAAATTATTGAATTATAGAAAAGACTACAGAGAGCAGCATGCTCACCGTATCACATAGATTAGGACTCTGCATCAATTCTTGTTGGTTTCCAGAACCTTAAATGAAAAAACAGCACATCTTCATAAGCAAATAAATGGATTTATATGAGCAACCTTGGAAAATATGAAATGATATAATTTTAACAAACCCTTATTTTCTAGCAGACAACAAGATGCCTTGGATGATTTGACTTCGGTAGCATCATCTAAATCGAGAATAACTGGTTCATTCTGCAGAAATTTTGGATGGCAAGTCATAAAGTATTTTTTTAATCAAGGGGATAGTCATAAAGTATTTGTTAGCAGTATGGTAAGTTTGAAACATGAAAAAATCGAGAAAGTTGGGTACATCAGCAAAATCTCTCCGACCAAAATTTTTGCCGTCAGTGATAGAACATTCAGGTGTTTTCACTCTTGTTATATGGGATTTGGCCCCAGAAGTGTCACATTTCGACTCAAGATGGCAAAGCCAATCATCTGTCGAAGGCTTCAAATTTGAAGACCTAGATGCCACAGTGGAACCTGACTCCAATATATTCTTTTCTGCAACATCATCACTATCATCAATGTGTAGGATTTCAATCACCGGATCATTTTGTGTACTACTTATTTCTCCTGCAACTAAGAAAAATTGTTAAATAGAATAACCAGTACTTCTATAGTCATAAGAAGAAAAAAGATAAACTAAATAGATGGACAAAAAACAGGGGAAAAATTAGCAATGAAAAAAGAAAACATCAAAAGGAATCAGCAAACAGAAATAGGTGTCACAGAACATATTAGCACCTATAGTTTGATCCAAAGTTGCGAATGACATTTTCACTGGTTTTATAGATATGTTATTCATCTTCAATAAATCAAAAACCAAAAGCATGTAGACTATAAACAACATTGCTTCCTAAACGAAGCAGAAACTCTTCTGTTGTAAATTTTGAGCACAATCTGGTCACTGATCAGAAGAAACTGCAAGAATAAGTTAAATCATAAACTTACGTTTCTTGATCCCTACATATATATTAGCTTATTCTTGTTCTCAATACTTTTGGTCAATGTGTCTATCACCCCCCACCCCCATGTATTAGTGCATGGCATCCTGAACCTGATTACATGTTCTGTCCTAGTCCATTACCTTCATTCTTCTGTTACATCACTGTTATTCCTTCTCTTTTCAATCTCCTTATTTTCTTTCAACTTTTATACTTTCCCCCTATTCTTCAGAATATGCAAATTTTACTTGCTTGCAGTAGCGGAGGACCATGATAAACTAAAGCATCAAATATATTAAAGTTCTTCCCATTCTAATTATGTGTTCAGTAAAGAAGAAGATAAGGTAGCTATATCAATATTCGTGTGATAGACAGTTCAAACAAAGCCACTCAAATTCCAGTTTTTTGGAATAGTAGTTAGAAAACAATCCAAACCAAGAAAAGCAATTGTGAACTAAATTTGGGTTTTGCAGAAACATACAGCAACGGAGATTTTTTCAATTAACATGAATCCAGAAGCTCTATTATTGTAAATTTAATTTTTTTTAAAAAAAAAACTGGTCACTGATCAGAAGAAACTGCAAGAATAAGTTAAATCATAAACTTACGTTTCTTGATCCCTACATATATATTAGCTTATTCTTGTTCTCAATACTTTTGGTCAATGTGTCTATCACCCCCCACCCCCATGTATTAGTGCATGGCATCCTGAACCTGATTACATGTTCTTTCCTCGTCCATTACCTTCACTCTTCTGTTACATCACTGTTACTCCTCTTCTTTTCAATCTCCTTATGTTCTTTCAACTTTTCTATTTTCCCCCTTCTCTTAACTCCATTAGACACAACTCAGAATATGCAATTATTACTTTCTTGCTGTAGACGAAAACGATGATAAACTAAAAGCATCAAATATATATAATAGTTCTTCCCATTCTAAGATAAGGAAGCGATATCCATATTGATAGACAGTTCAAACTGGAATACCCCGAATTTCAATTTCTTGGAATAATTGTTAAAAAAAAAACAATCCAAATCAAGAAGAGAGCAAGAAAAGTGTTTGTAAAGTAAATTAGGGTTTTGCAGAAACGTACAGCAACGGAGAAAGCAATACTTATCGACGGGAGAATGGAATTTGTTAGGTTTTTGAATTTTGAATGTTTGCAATAACTTTTTAGAGCTTTTCTCAATGCGTTCATCTTCAGGGCTAAAATCGAAAACGGAGAGATCGTGATTCTTGCTAGGGTTTCGCTTGTTCTTGCTTCTCGTCTTCGTCATTATGGATGATGGATGGATCGTCTGAGAAATTTACACTATTTAAACATGTCAACAATTTGTATCCCAATTTAAACCACGCGCTTTGCCAAACTTTAAATACTTTTTGAAGTAATATTTTCTCCACTAATCAAATCGTTTAAACTTTATTTTTTTTCTTTTACCATCTTAACTGTCTAATTAAGTCCCAATTTACGAATTTGGAAAATAAATTAAAGATTTTTATATTTTTTTTAATTGTTAATAATTGTGATTCATAGTATTTTTAGTTAATTTTTAAATAATATATGTGTAACAGGCGGGACTCCTGATACCATTCCTAAAAGCGAAGGAGAAATAGAGAAGAGAAAGAAAAGAGAGAATTTGATAAATTTCTGATATATGCCTCTTAATGCGATTACATCGTTTTAATAGTACTCCTTACAGACAACGGATGGTACTACAGATGTCCTATTCCTAATCGAAAGAGGGACTACAATGCAAATAACCACAAACTATTCTTAAGGGACTAAACTGTAAGATGGAAATAAAATACGTAAATACTTAGAGGACCTAAAGTAAAATAATAAAACTTCTAATTTAACAGTCACAACAGCTTTTGTGACAATATGTTATTTTTTTGTCTCAATTTATATAACACTGATAAAATTTCTAGAGTTAATTAAAAAACTTATATGTCTTTTGAATTATTTATTATTGTGATTATAGACTCTTTATATCTTTTCAAAAAATATATGTTACTTCCTCTTCCTTAATTTATGTGGCGCTAAATTTTTTGATATATTTTTTTAAATATTCTAAGTTGCTAATTGTTACCGTTTATAATAGTTTTTACATAATTTTCTATTATATAAAATATTTTAAAAAAAATTAGACAAACAAATTATAACAGAGAAAGTACAAAATTTTCAAAATACCCTCGATTAGAAGCAGGCATATGACAAATAGTTATCTGCTTTTGGCAGCTTCTACATAATTTTTAAATACATAATAAATGAAAAATAAAAATTAGATAAACAAATTAAAATAGAGAAAAAAAAAACCTCGATCAGAAGCACACATGTCGGCGGGCAGCTGCTTGCTGATATAGTACAAACATTGCATATATTAAAGGATTGCATATATTAAGGGGTTGTTTGGTAGTCCGCATTAAAACAAATAGTCCATGTATTATGTATGGTATTATTTAGTACTATGTTTGGTAGAAATTTGGGCCTATGTATAACTAATTCATGGCTTAGTTATACCTCCTACATGGTATTATAGGATGTATTCCATCTGGAGGTATTAGTAATACATGAGATATAATACCATGGGATAAGTCTATGTAAAGACAAAAATATCCTTCAAATCATTTTAATTATTTTGTTTATTTTCTTGATTTTATGTTTTATATTTGTACTAGTAAATTTATTTAAATAAATTAGCTTACAAATTATTTAGAGAGAGTTGTTTGTTACTAAATAATTCCAATACAAATTAATACAATATTTGAAATGTGAGTTGTTTAACATTAACTAATTAAAAAGGAAAATATATCACATACGACGTTTGTGATCTTAATCAAATGTGTGTGTGTATATATATATATATTTATATATATATTTGTGTGGTTTTCTAATTATTTGTATTTTGAACAATTTATAAAATTGCATATAAATTAAAATTACAACTTAGCAATTTTTATGTGTATTTTTTTACTATTGTTTACCGTATTTTAAATTTTAAAAGTTGATAGTTTATCTTCTTTTTTTAAAATTGAAAATTGACATTTTGTAAGTGATCAATTTACTAAGATGACAATTATTTATCCTCAAATAATTTAAGTGAATATGTTCTTCTCATAGCTAGTTAGAAGGCCATAAAAAAAATATTGTCCGACAATTATTTACCTTAACCCAATTACATAATAATTAAAGGGTATAATTGGAAATAAGTTTTTTATAAAGTTTTAATTCAAACACAAGATGAGACAGGAAATAATTAACCAAACACTTGGTAAAAATAAACTATTCGTTACTAATCAATGCATTATTAATTTTTGTACTAAACGACCCTAACGACATTAAAAATATAGTTTAGAGGCGGATTTAAAGTATGGGGCATAGATTTTGTTTAAATTTTATATTTATATTAAAAAGGAATTTCTAATCACACCCTAAGATAGAAGTAGTTTGTTGGTTCAAACTTTGGTGAGCCCTCCGCAAGGGTTTATTTTATCCCTCTTTTTCCTTATAAGAACACTCATGAACTTCAAATATTTACATAATCAATACTTAACAAAACTCAATTTATATTTAATAGGGCAAACATTATTGGCCTATTTAGCAAAAAATTCGGCGAAGTTAAAAGTGTTTATTCGTGCCCGCCTCCCCTACCAAAACTCAACTTATATTTAAGTTGGAGGTGACAGAGAAGGAGGGGCTAGTGTGTACTTATTTGCAGGCATGCATAGGGCAACATTATGTGAAATTGAATTTTAGCTAGTTCCATCATCATCCTTTTGACAAAATAAAAATTATGAAATCCTTGCAAGATAAAATATGAAATCAGTACATAGCAATATGAACTAATAATGGAAAGGATTTATAGAAACTATTCCTAAGCCTTTCCAAAAGTATCATTAGAGAACTATAAGGGACATGAAAAATACACATAAAGCAAGTTCTTGCTTCCAACAAGGTCCATTTTAGGAACCAACTAGCTAGGGAGTTAATAGCTGAAAATATTCTTCAATACGAAATTGGCTTCTACTGATTTATTTTGCAGCATACATATGAAGTGGATACAATAAGCTTATTCTTCAGCAGTAGCACTCGCAGAACTCAGGTCCACTGACAAGTCAATCACCTAAATAAAAAGATATATTTGTCATTACACTCAGAATCATTCACACGAGGTCGAAAGAAAAGATATATTTGTCAATCATTAGAGGATAATAAGCTTAATTAGAACCCCCTTTTTTCATCAGTAACTTTGTGCTAGGTAGCTTCTATATTCAAACAGTAGTATGCTTGGCAGAGTTGTTGATATAGTATATATTATGAAACTGCTGCACATTGTCAAATGACAAGTCACCAGATAACTAAATTCCAACTGGAATCTTACCTTTCCCGTTATCTTGCTGTACATGTCTAGCACATCCATCACCGTGGACTCAAAGTGTGTTGTTGAATCATAGCTCTACAAGGAAGGATAAAACAGGATTATTAGATCAGATAACAAATTTTGACAAGAACTGCTGGCCGATGTATGAGAGAAACATTGGAGTGGCAGGAAAGAAGTCTACCATAGAGTTTTTGAACTTTTAGAAGTTTGATTTATGTCGTAAGGACTATGCATATGTTAGCCTATGTATGCAAGAGAAGGCATGCCAAGCTTGTAAGACAGTACTGTTATATTATTTTCCTGCCTTAGTGGCATTACTAGATTATGAAGAACGGTTCCCTTGAGTAGCAGTGATTTCACATAATGTGGGGCAAGGTTCAGCATGTCAAAGAAGTAAAATCAAAGTGCCATATCTGTTTTCAGTGATTCTTCTACAGAATTTTGGGAACATAAGCATAAAATGTCTTCTAATTAACAAGTAATAACACAGTCATATCTCTTTTGTGATATATTTGAGATGAAATAGTTGTAGAAATAGAGTAGACACTACCAGCTAATTGGAACTTACTTTAGATATGAAACAATTATCAGCAGCAGAATCATGTGAAGGTACGAATCTGTCATAAGTTTCATAAAATATCTCATCGACAGCCCCAAGTATGTCTACGCCAGGCTTCAGTTCGCTCTCGGGGTCATCGGTTTCAGCTTCTGTTGAGACAAAGGCAATATATTTCCCTTTTGGAGCGACATTGTGGGAGTAGGAACAACAGAACAGGTACCTGTAACCGCCATGTTGAATAAGTCACTCTGAATTATCTTTCAAGTTTCTCCAAACAGCACAGCAGGTTTAGTGAGCATGTACTGGAGTCTAGGACTAAATAAATAGTGACAGTCACTTCTCAACAATTGTTTGGAGAAAAGAGGACTTCAATTACTAGTCATTGACATATAAAAGTAAGGTCAAATTTGTATGTTTTACAATCTTATTTTAGAAGCAGAAAGCTTGCACCGTCAGAGATATCCCTTTACGGTTAGGATATGATAATTCAGTAGACTATCTAGAATCCTAAACATACATGTCTGATTTGCGACCAAGTTGCTTCTGCGGTAGAATGACCTGGGCTGAATGAGAATCATTGGTGTTAGGGATGGGATGGCTCATTATACAAATTGCACGGGCAACTTTTCCAACCTTCTGGACCTGCATTATGTATTGGTATTAAATCATTTGTCAGTAGAAATTGTTAATCTGATCCTTTTTTCAGCTAGGCAGATGATTAAACAAATTTCAAAGACATGAGTCAACGATGCAGAAAGCCTGGACATATTAGTTATTCGCAATTTGCCAATAGTACCTTATCAGGTAAATATGAGGGATCACAAACAACTTTCTTGCATTTGGCAGTTTCTCCTTCAGAAGTCACACCAACAACTTTTCCACCTTCATCAAACTCCACCTGCAATACGGAAACTGAGTGTTCACATAAACTTCAATTTAATTCAATGTGTATGTAAGCCATGTGGAATTCTTCAGCATTTTAAGTAGAGCAGCCAGCTCAGTGCATTATCGTCTCAGTATTCTTTGTAAACTAATATGGCATGCTTAAATGTACAACAAGAGGATATCTGATCCAGATTACATTTAGAATATCTTTTTCCATTGGGCAAGAAGAGGCCTAGATGTCAGATTAGAAAGATCAGTGAGACACATTCTGGATGCCAAAACATTTGGAAAACTTTACCTTATATGGGGATCGTTAAGCATCGAAATGAGCTAGAGATGGTTCGAATGATTACCTTACACTGTGGCTTGTTAAGCATGTAAGTTCCACCATAAACTGCACTCAGACGTGCAAACGCCTGACAGCATGTAAACCAATCAAATAACAGGAAAAAAAATTACCCAAACACGATTGAAACAAAATACCCAAGGAAACAAACCTGCGGTAATTCACC